TTTTTTTTCTGTCTCCTCCTGACTTACAGGGTCAGGAGGGAGGGGTTGCCACACTCATTCCTTATTGCTGCTTCCAGCATCACTCAGCAACCACTCCTCCTTTGACACTCATGCCATCAGATAATACTGTTTTCTCTTCATGCTTGGAACATTTCAAGCCTCCAGGACATTCCCACTTTCCTCAAGGCACCTGATTCAGTTTTTTCTCTTTTGGTTTTCCTCAGTTGCTTTCCTTTTGCACCTGACTCAGTTCTTCTCTTTACTTTCATCCTCAGGCACCAACCCTGAAACTTAACATCTATATTGATCACCCTAGCCTCCGATTTATTTGTCCTCCACAATTCCAATTACTTTCATGGGCATTCCTCTTCAGCCACTCTCCTAAGATCACTTAAAATGACTCCAACTCTAAGAATATGAACTCTGAAATTTCCCTCCCTTACCAGTATCTTCTATTCTTCTCCTTTCTCCATTTCTTCATCCCTATGGAAACTTCTTTGTATCCTCACTGTGACACTCCCCCCATTTTTCTAAGCCATTGATCCCACATGATATTTGTTTTCCTACCCAGGTAGAACTCCATGGTCATAAGACCACAGATAGGATCACAGATCTAGAGTTAGAAGAGACCTCAGATGCCATCTAGTTTTCCCCCTTCATTGTACAGATAAGAAAAATGAGGATGAAAGAGGTTAGACTGCTTCTCAGTGGACACACTACTAGCAAACATTTATTTATTTGTTTGCTTGCAGCAATTGGGGTTAAGTGACTTGCCCAGGGTCACACAGCTAGTAAATGTCAAATGTTTAGTCTGAGGCAGGACTTGAACTCGGGTCCTCCTGACTTCAGGGTCATCGCTCTATCCTCTGCACCACCTAGCTGCCCCACTAGCAAACATTTATGAAATTCCTACTATGTGCCAGGCGTAAGTGGGATTTAAACCTAGCTTCTCCTGACTCTAACCTGGCATTTACCTACTACGGGGGGCTTCTTACACCTTTTCCCCCTGTGACCCCTTTTCACGTTTTGGCAGCATTTGCTGGTGTTGGGTGGAGTGAGGGCATGCGCAGTCCAAAGTACACATGCCTTGTGTTCAGAACTAAGGCTGCAGTGAGTTGTGCAATGCAACGCGGGCAAGCCCTGTCAGAAGCACCTCAGATTCATCATGAGTTTGATTTGTATTTAATTTTTGGTCGTTGCATGTTCAGAAACCTTTTACTGTTGCCAGATGTTTCTCAACCCTATATGTGGTTGAGACCCACAGTCTAAGAAATGCTCTACTACATCACACTCATACTTCCCCTCAAGTAAAAGTCTATAGCATCGATCTTTCCAGACAGTCTCCCATGCAACTACTATCCGGGCTCAATTCTGCTTAGCTTCTTAGATCAAATGAGATTAAGTACCAATGGTGGTATGGGCTTAGGCCATATCATCAGCCATTTCAAAAATTTGGTCATCACCACCCTAGAATCCCTTGTCCCCTTAATTTTGTACCATTCTCACTTTAAAGATTCTCAACTCTTGGTAACCCCTACTAACCATTCTTTGCATGTCCAAGGCTTAGCTGGCAAACATTGTTGGGAAAAGTAAAAACTGTGCTGAAGGTACCCAAAGATTCACATGCTCCAGTCTTGGTGGGGGACTTCACTGCTTCTCAGTCATCCCTTTATTGACTCCTTGCAACTAATGTTCCAAAATATTTACACTCTTCTCAAGCCTTTGGTTTCACTGAGCACACAGACATATACACAGACACACAGACACAGACACACACACACACACACACACACACACAGACACAGACACACACACACACACACACACCCCTCCACTTTCTATAGAACACCATGATTCCTACTTTACTGAGACTGAGGTGATTTCATTCTACCTCCCTCTACCTAGATGGCTTCTGAGGTCTCTTCTACCCCATTCTATCTCTACCTCCCTCCTTTCCACCACAAAAGCCCTATGTATTTTCACCTTCTCTCTCAACCATTCACCTGGCATCTGAGGAAGAAATGTCTCTCTTCCTTGCCAACTTTCATTCTCTACTTTCCTTTTTCTGGATCATAGCCCATCCTGCTTCAAGGACCTTTCTTCCTTGACTGTCCCCAGTGACTCTTTGGATCGTCAGTGCCTTTTACTAGCTTCCTCAATCAATCAGGCAGTCAATCAGTAAGCATTTACTATGGGCCTGGTGCTGGGCTGCAAATGAAAAGGAAGTGGCTTTTAGCCTTCAAAAGTTTACATTCTATCAAGGGAAACAACACATATTAATATAAGTAGATACAAAATGTACATAATTTAAATACGAGGTAATTCAGAGGGAAAGGCACTAGCAGGGGCAGGGGATTAAAGAAGATCTCAAGTCCCCTAGCAAGTGGTTCTTGAGTTAAGCTTTGAAGGGAGCCAAGGGTTCTAAGAGGTGGAGGGGATGAGTGAGTGCATTCCAGGCATGGGGGCCAATGAAGCTACAGAGAGAGAATGTTATATGCAAGGAACCACATGAAGGCCAGTACATAAAGGCATAATGAGCCTGGAAAGGTAGGTTGCGGGCAGGTTGTCCAGGGCTTTGCAAGCCAAACAGATTCTAAAGGTATCAAGGAGAACTGGAGTTTATTGGAGCAGAGGAGGGCATGGTCAGGCATGTGCTTTGGCAGCTGGTTCTGACCAGTCAAGAAGCTGTTGCCGTAGACTAAGTGAGAGGGACAGGAATTGGGTTGGTTGTGGCAGGAATGGAGATAAGGAGACAGATACCTGTTCAGTCTTCATGTCTCTCCTTACCTAAATGTCTTTCCTCAACTCCACCTTCTTAAATTATCCCATTTTCTCTCTCCTTTCCTTCACCACTGAACTTCTTTTCCTGGTTTTCTCTTCATTTTTTTATTAATTTATTTTGATGCATCAACAATCCCTTCCATAAGCTTTTGAGTTTTAAATCCTACCAAACTTTTTTGAAAGAGTAGTCTACTTATGCTTCTACTTCCTTTCTAACCACTTATTCAAAATTGCAGTAGCTCAAAAGAAATGTGAGATGCGCAAATTTAGAGATTTCCACTCCAAATGTTCATATGGACTATTTGTGCCTGACCTGTGGTAGAACCTTCCAAGCTCACATTGGTCTGATCAGCCACAGTTGGATGCAGTGTACCTTGACCCCGACATAGTGATGTGATTTGGGGACTTTTCAAGAACAAAGGACAACCACCAGTCAACCACTGACACTTCATCCCTTTATAATCTGACTTCTTTCCCCATCATTCCACCGTAACTGCTCCCTCAGAGGTCAGCAAGGAACTCCCAGTCATCAATCCTGGTGCCCATTTGTCAGTGCTCATCTTCCTTGGCTTCTCTGCTACCTTTGGATTGGATATTATTGACCATACCCTCTTTCTTGAAACTCCTCCCCTGGTTTCAGTCCCACTACATTATCTGATTCTCCTACCTCTCTGCTCTTCTGTCTCCTTCAGGAGGTCCTGGGTTCAAATCCAATCTCTTACACTTACTACCTGTATTAACCCAGAGATCAGGCATACAAGTCACTGAACTTCTCTAGACTCAGTTTCCTTATCAGTAAAATAAAGGGGAGGGGGTCATACTAAATGGTCCCTGAGGTCCTTTCTAGCTTCAGGTCAATATAGATGGTCCCCAAATTTTTGTTCTTGGCCCTTTCCCATTTCCTTCCTACATTTTCATCTACTCCTACATCTCTGTGTAAGTGATTTCCAAATTTTTATCTTCAGCCCTGAACTCTCTCTGGAGCTCCAGGCCTGCATTTCTAACTACCTGCCGTGTCTACCAGGATGCAGTGCTGGAAATTGAAATATGGAATCCTGAAAAAGGTAAGATCCTTGAAGGCAGGGATGTTTTTTCTTTGACTTTATTTTCTCAGTGTCTACCTCAGTCCCTTGCATGTATAAGTTCTATCTAATGGGTGCCTCAGGTGGCATACCTCAACAAATTCACCAATTTCCACAGCACTCTAACTCCTCTCTTTGATTTCAATACTTCTCTTTGGTACCACTATCTTCCCAGTCACACAAGGTTCAAAACCATGAAGTCACATTTGGCTCTTCTTCACCCTAAATATCCAATTAGTCGTCATCTCATCAATCTCTCTAGCATCTGCTTCTTTTCATGCCTACCATCACCAACCAAACGCAGTTCCCAGGTACTATAGCTTAGGCTATTACAAAAAATAAAAACAAACCAACTGATTCTCAGTTCTCCCACATCCCAAACTCAGTCCCAAAGAATTCTACAGTTCAAATAATGTCCTTTCCTGCTTAAACACTTTCAATAGTTTTTCATTATCTACCAAATAGAGTTCAAAGCCCTCAGCCTACAAAATCTGACCCCAATCTGCATCTGCCCACCCTATTACTTTTCTACTACCTCCCTACACATATCCTAAACCAGAGTTGGGAAACTCAAGGCCTCGAGGCCACATGTGGCCCTCTAGATCCTCAAGTGCGGCCCTTTTTTTAAGGGGATTTGTTCTGTGAAGTTTAGATTCAAAGGGATCTTGAGGATCTGGAGGCCACAGGTTCCCGACCCATGTCCTAAACTCTAGTCAAATGGGACTCTACTTACTGCTACCTGATTATACCAAGAGTATTTTCCCAGTCTCTTTGCCTATGATCATATAGTACGCTCACCCTGGTATGCCCTCCCTTTAGAATTTGGAGTCAGGAACATCTAGGTTCAAACCTGTTTGGGCCTCAGTTTCATCATCTATAAAATAGGCAAGTTGGACTGGATGGCTTCTAAGTTCCCTTTCAGGTCTGAACGTATAATTTCACAGCCTGCTCTGAGTCCCTAATGAGATAATCGATGTAAAATGCTTCTCAAACTTTAAAATACAATCCAAATGCCAATTATCATCATCTCTACTGTTAAAATCCTAGCTAAAGACAAAGAAACAGTCCCTGCCTTCAAGAAGCTTACCTTCTGTTAGGGGAATACAACATGTGCACAAGTAAAGATAATGAATATACCTTGTGAGATGCAATGTGACTTGGTGGTTACAGAGCTGGCCTCAGGGTCAGGTAGACGTGGGTTCTGGCTTCTGGTTGTGTGACCCTGGGCAATTCACCTCTCAATGCATTAGACAACTCTCCAAGACCACTAGAATTTGCAGAGCAGGCACTGTTCTGTGTTGTAGAGAAAGTTCTTCCCTAGGAGTTCCCTACAAAGGCAAAATCACAAGTCTGGTGCAAAAACAGTATACTTTGGGCCTCAATCTGGTGGCAGCTAGGTGATGTAGTGGGTAGAACACTAGACCTGGAATCAGGAAGACATGAGTTCAAATCCAGCCAGATACTTACTAGCTATGTGACCCTAGGCAAGTCACTTAACCTCTGTTTGCCTCAGACTGTTCAGCTGTAAAATGACAGTAATAATAGCATCTCCTTCCTAGCGTTGTTGTGGGCATCCAATGAGATGATATCTGTAAAGAGCTTTGTAAACCTTACAGGACTGTACAAATGCCAGTTTCCCAATTATTTGTATTCCTGTCTTAACTCTCCAAGTTGACTAGAAGCAGAGAACTTTCCCTTACCAAGCTTTAGCTATTCACACCATAGCACAGATCCCAGCTCTGGTTAGAAACGAGACATTGGTTTAATTGAATAGGAAGTAAGCTTCACCTTCCTAAATACCCCGCCTTCCTCCCTCTAATCCCAGTGTGAACCATCTCTCCTCTCCCTCAATGCCCTCCACACCCAATTTCCCCACCCCCAGGCTCTCAGGCCTTTAGCATGCACAGTCCACGAGGTTCTTAGTTGCACACCAGGGACTTATTCTGTCCCAGTTTACCCAAAGATGACTCATGTGCCTGGCCACAGAGAGAGACTGCAGCTCCTCCTTCTCAGCAGCACAGTGTTCTTACAGCTAAATGAGCACAGTTTTTCCATCTCATGTATATCTCGTAGCATAGCCAAGGCCCAGTTTCTGTCCTCCCCCCTTCCTTACCCCACTACCCCACACAGAGTTCCCAACCTATTTTCTGTCTAATACAAGGAAGCCTAAAGTTTGAGGGACTTTCTGTTCTTGCTTAAGAATACAGCAACATTTGGGAGCCATTAAAACATTCCTAACACTGGAAGAAAGATCTTTCTCTCCCAAATCAGGACGAAGAGGCCCCAAAGACAAGACATTCCATGGTTGGGAAAGTGAGAGTGCTCTAGGCCCTGCTCTGCGGCCATGTGACCTTTGATAAACTGCATTCTTTCTCAGAGCGTTCTGGGAAAAGGGGGCTCTTACCCCATGAGTGGGAGAGTGGCACAGAGCTCTGGATGGTATGGATGGCACAGCATGGCTCATTCCTTGCTGATGGGAAAACCAGACCACAGAGAAGAAGTATTGGAGTCCAAGTCTTAGGCATTGAGGGAGGAATGGAAGTCAGATCCAGCCAGCTACCTTCATCTACTCTGCTCCTATTTCCTGAAGGTCATGGAATCCAAAGAACTATTCCTTCAAGGCCCTTGTTTATTCAGGCTTTTGCTGAACAATTTTCCCTGCCCTCCCTCCCCATGCCTCACCTAAGTTCAGGCCTTCACCTGGGAGTGAGGGAGAAGTTCCCAACCTGGTGTGATAGGACAGACTCCACAAAGTCCTGTCTGGAAACCCCTAGTTTCATTACTTTGGGTTAGACCTTAAAGGAACAGGGATTTTCTATTAAAACGTCCCCTTAAATGATGAATCCTACCTAGAAAGGAAAGAGAAAGGACAGCCCTCTGCCACATGTACCCATTAATGTGGATTTTTTTTTTTGAAAAATCAAATTAGCTATTACTTTGGAAAGAAGAGAGCTCACTGGGCAGTGGGGAATGGAACAGAAGACAGTTCAATTTTAATGGAAGATGGTGGTTTCAGTGAGCTAGGAAAAGATGGGAGCACAGGATGGGGGTGGGGCACAACAGGAAATCTTAATAAGCCACTGGGCATCTAATATAATTTCCTTTGAATTTAAGGATTATCTCACTTTTGTATTTGTATCACAAAGGCTTAGCATAATCGACTTAGTAAATGTGTGTTCATTGATTGATAGGTTGAAGAGGGCCTTAGTTGCTTGAAGGCTAGAGGGGGTCCTAAAATTACTTTAGGATTTGTGAGTCCTATGCCACCTGGTCTTGCTACTCTACCCAGGATACCCTGGATGAGATTTGTGTTGGCCAATCTTTATGTTTTGCTTAGGGGAAGGTGGGGTGGGGGATGTGAGGGACAGTGAAAAAGTGTGGAAGGGATTTGGTACCCAATATATAGGGATCTGTACTTGGCAACTGACTCCTGCATGACCCAGGGCATCTCTTTCTCTTCAGCCTTAACACATAAATTATAGAGTGGGTGGAGGGGCAGAGAGCGGAATAAATAGTTCCCATCTTGTTCCTATTCCCTAGTTTTCAACCAGCCTCTAAATGAGTCCCAAGGCAGGGTATGAAGAGGGAAGGGAGTTCAGATAACCTCCATCCAGGAAGCAGTGCAAATTCCTAGGATTCCAGTCCACCAAGTGGAGTTTCTGGAGGAGGGGGAGCTTTTGAGGGATCAGTGATAACTTGTGGTAGTCACCAGAAGGCAGGGTGGGAGTGAGGTTTGGGATGGCCCATCCTTGCCTCTCTTCTAGTTTCCACCAAATGGAAACTCCCCCCAGTATTCCTAGGTTTGATTACCTGCCTCCCCAACCAAACTCGAGAACCAGAGGTATCTCTGAGCTAGGGTCAGGAGAAAGAAGCCCTGGCCTCTACTGTGGATTCGGCGGGCAAAGAAATTCACTCAAGTCAACAATGTTGTCACTACCCTTTGTCAGGGACAACTTCATTCTGTAACTGGCATGAAATGGTAATGGCAAGGCCCCTGAACCCTAACACCAGAGCTGGGGAGGGAACAGGTATGAGGTCATGGGAGTACAGAGAAGGGGCCTAGACAGAGGGTCCCCCAAGAGGACCTAAGCAGCAACAAGTCCCAAAGATTGGGAACTAAGCCCCAACTGTTCCATTCCCTTGGGGTTGCTCCCCAAATGCAGGAGTTCAGAGACAGTCGCCACGTTCCCTCTTGAAGGCATACCAGGCTAAGGCTGGCCCCACCTGTCTCTCTCACATGGTCCTAGAAGGCCCCAGTCCATGACTGCGGGAACATCATCTTCTTCACCAGGTGAGCACCGTGGCCCAGACTGTGACTGATGACAGTCTCTTGGGTTGAGAGAATGGGATTGCACATGAGGAACAGAGGTTCTTCTGAGAGTAGTGAGAGGCCCTCAGTAGTCTTTCTGGCCTCCTGCTACCCGGGGAGAAGGAGCAAAACTGAAGACAGATAATTCTGAGCCGTCTGTGTCTCTATGGAAGGCAGTGACATTTCTGGGGCCTCCAGGGGCAGGATCTTCATTCTCAGTCCTTCCTGACATTTCACTCTCTTTCCCAGGAGAAGCAAAGCCCCATGGACACTATTTCCTTTTGCTCCTGCCAAGTCCTGAGTCCACTTCATTCATCCTGACCAGCAGGGACAGTTCAGGCTCCCGGGTTTCAGAAAGGGCTGGGAAGCTGAAGAGGGAGAACAATGGTTAGGGCTATGCAACAACCCAGGGCCATCACCAGTAAGCAGAGAACAATGGCCAGGTAGAAAGACAGCCTGATACAGAAAGGCTTGTAGAGGGTGGGGGGAGTATCTAGCAAGGGTAAGAAATTGCCTCTTAAGGACCAGAGCCATCCTTAACATCAGCTAAGACAATCATAATGGGGTTTGAGTTGTATTAGAGATATATTTTTTCAGACCCTCAAAACTAACTCCACCTCCAGCCCTCTCCTTATTAAAAAGAGGAGGAAGAATTGGGAGGAACTGAGACTTGGATATGAAATTTTGAAGCACAGGGAAAGCATAGAGAAAAGACTAAAGAAAAACTGAAGGGGATTAAGAAACCTTAGAGATTATTTAGTCTAACCCTTTCATTTTGCAGACGAGTAACTGAGACCCAAAGAAGGGAAAGGATTTGCTCAAGGTCACTCTGTCTTCATGGGAGAATCAGGATTGGAATCATGGTCTTCTGACTCCTAGCCTAGAAGTCTTTGTACCATATCATGCTGCCTCCTCCTCCTCCTCTACCCTGAAGTCTTGTGCCTCCCTCCTTCCCCACCCCACTCCGAAGATGGATGGTATCTGGGGCAGAGGGCATTGGGCTGGGATTCAAGTCTCCTGGGTTCTATTCCTGACACCCCCTCCCACTAGACGAGTTAGTTTCCCCTAAGCCTGCTCTGTCTGCCCCTCCTCCTTCAACGGGTCATTGCTTCCCTGGGAATATGAAACATCATGAAGAATGAATCACAGTGTTGCCCTGTGGACCCAGGGTTTCTCTCTGCCCATCTGCTGCTTTATCACGTCCAGCCTCTGCTTCTCTAGACCCCATGTTCACATACTGGCCTTACTCAGTCTGAGCAGGACAGGGTGTACAATCATTCTCCTCACCCTCTGCCCTACCTCAGGCATACCAGGGAGTACCCTGACTCTTCCTGTCTCCTAGGGAAGGGAAACGCCTATGTATCTCTTAGGACCCTACCTGATTTCCTGTCCTGAGTCTGGAGACCTTGAGGGAGAAACTGCCCATACTTACAAGATACTTCTCCCCACTTTCTGAATCCATCCCATTGTTGGTACACACCATCTTACCCCTCTACCTATGTGAAGAGCACTAGCTCAGGCCCCTTTGGTCACTTTGATCTGAGGGTCTCTCCCTTGGCAGTGAAAAGAGGGGAAAAACTACCTCCTTTAACCACTGGCCGGTCACTTGTAGGATGAAGGGCATCCAGATGCCCTCCCTCTTTGGGGTAGACAGCACCTGAGATGAAAGGTTTCTTTTCCTATACTGGCCAAGATTTTAAGATAAAGGATTTAATTCTGTAGCATCTGTTTTACTTCTGAACCCACACACACACACACACACACACACACACTTCCTTTCTCACTGGAGATTAAGAGCTGGAGGAACAAGAAACCTGCCCTGGAAGTTAGAGCTTATCCTGTCCCCTCAGCCTGGACCTCTTCTTTTCCTGTCCTTTCTTCTCCTAGTAAAGAGGAGAAGGGAACCCTCACAAAAATCCCTCTCTAGGCCCAAGTTTCTCTATCTGTAAAATAAGGGTGTTGGACCAGATGAACCCAAAGGTCCCTTCCTGCTCTAATATTCCAGGAGTTCGTGACTTTAATCTATATTTCCATGACTCCAATCCTGCCTGACATTCTATG